TGTTCTAGTCTATAAAATAAATGCCATTTACCATTTTTACAAGCCCACAATGTTGTCTTCTATTGTTTGTTTTGTCTGACCAACAGTCCAAAACCTAAAGATATTCAAGTCACTGTTGTATGGGACAAAGAAAAGCTGACTGAGACGATTATTGATTACCCAAATACCTGCTGATTGACTAATTGATTAATCCTTGCAACATTTTACAGTTGGAAAAATACTAATTACTTCAAACATATCTTGTATTGCAACTTCCCAAAAGTTACCAGCCAACACATATGTCTATACAGTATGTCTATGATAAAAGTGCCAAAAGACTTGCTGCTGGGTGACAGTGAATGTTTATGATCACCCAATGGGGCTAGCCGATGACCTTCACTCACTTCTTTAACTTAATCAGAAGCAATCATATGCTTTTCATATGACAGGGACAACATGGTGGTCACAAGAAAACTGCTCTTTTCTAACCAAATGGCAGTGTTGCAGTAATAATCTTGTAAAGGGGAGACAAAGGGGAGACACACACATACACCGACACATACACACCTCACCCCCTCCCAGTACATCCTTCCTACAATGAAGTTTCCGATTAGGGCATGTGATTCTTGCTTCCGTACTTTCTCTCGAGAATAATGTCAGTTGTTCACTTACACCCACATCTACCAAAGCACATTCCAAAATCATCAAGACCCTTTTCAACTACTTTACAGTTGCATTTAATGGGCCAAAGCACAGGGCGAAGCAGGCTTTAGTATTGTAAAGGCAGAAAGATAAACAACAGAAACACTAAGAACTAGAGGTCAGTATTTAGCAAGCTTCAGGCCCACTGAGGATTTTCGGGAATGGGTTTCATCTTTCAGGTATCTCTGGATCTCCACAACGTTTCTCAGCTTTCATCTCAGCTCTGTTTGACCCACCCAGGCCAATCTGACCACACGCCAAACAAACCCTCCAGACAGGGTGTGGGTTCCCTGTCCAGAATCCAGAATCCAATATCCACCCAGCTTCCCACAGACTGACTGAAGCATTCGTCACTACCACTCCTGGTCAGGGAGCAGCAGGAGAGATATGAAACAGCAGCAAGTCACAAGGTTCTAAATCTTGCAACTCAATATTTTATACAACAACCTTTATGTGTATATAACATCACATGAAAATATGGTGATAATGAACCAAAAACAGACCCTGCAGGTCATGATTGCATAAATAGCCAGACCACTGCCCTACCTTAGTAATGACAACCCTCCATCTGACACTGTGAAAAACTACTGTTACTGGCTAATGTCCATGTTTACAGGCTGCGGCATTCAGACCAGTTTGACATTCAGTTATATTAATTATAAACATCTCTTTGAGTATGTAGAGCAGGGAGGGAAACTGTTTGGCCCAGTGCTAGAGTGCCTCACGCTGGAAGATGTCTGTTTATTTCAGCCTTAAGGCTGAGAAATTGGAAATAGCAGTTTAAAAATCAGAACAACAATTAATGCAGCTGTGAAAATCAGATTTGAAAGCTGAGTGACTATTATGAAGGAGCAAAAATCCTCAAACTCAAAAAGCCGAGCAACCAAACAACAGTCATACAAATTGTAGCAACACAGTTCAAATGTGCTAGTAGTGAGAGTTTTGATCTGTTTTTTACAGTGGGATTACTTTTTTCATTGAGCTACTTTTTTTGAATGCCATCATTTAGCAACACCCCTGCGCATCAACTCCAACAGTTGCATTGTTTACATCAAGGACCAGCTGACTGTGCTGAAACCGGCCGACATGGCAACCATAACTACAGACATCCCCACAGATATCAGGAAGGACACACAGAGGGTGAGGAGAAATGAGGTGACAAGCAAAGAGAGCCAAGTCCAGACAACAGAGACTGATGGAGAAGAGTATCTTCCTTTCTATCATCATGGGAAGCGTGAGACCACTGGACAATAAGATGGACCAGCTCACGGCCTTAGTGAGGAATCAGCGTAGAGTTGTGTGTTTCATGGAGAAATGGCTACAGGAACATGCTCTGGATACCATTGCTATCACATGGTTTTCAGACGGTTCAGACGGACAGGATAACCCTGATTCTGAACTAAGAAAAATTAATACTTTCTAAACTACTTCAGTTCCAGGATTCTTTCTCCATTATAAAATTCAAGACACAGGTTTTCCACTCCAACAGTGAACACATGTTCAGTAAAAGCAAATGCAGGATAATTCCACTGATTTTGGCAACTATTTTACTCATAATAACATTGTAATCATCAGGTTAACTGACGTTTTTCATGGTAGACATTTGGACATAAAGCAGGAAAAGCACAGGTGTATTTTATGACTATAATGATAGCTACATCACTGGCATGCTTCCGTGTGTTTAAGTCTATAGTACAGCAACAGATAATCCTTGCTGTATATGTTAACAGGATGTGGCTGCTCCACAAGCTGCTTAAATACACACAGCACTACCTACTGTAATGCAGCAGTAGCCACATAAGGAGTTTTCTTTTTTTAGTATACAGTCCAATCAGATTACTCATTACAAGTCAATCACACAGACTCACACCGTAGTGATATTTTAGAGCATGTTCTACTGAGGAGCAGCACATACAGTATATCCAACCTATTTGTTTCACGGTATCAACATCAGGCCTGTTCAGTGGCACTGCTTCACTCTCTGAATTATACAACAACTATTATCTTAGCTGGACTACTTCAATACAAGAAATGTCTGGAAATTTCATGGGAATTGTTTCATCTTCCAGTTTGGACCACTGTGAACAAAATGGGGTGTAGTATACGTTTTTACAGCAGAAACCTACCTAGGTTAACATTTCACTTGGGAAATCAATAGCTATATGTAAATCCAAAAGACATGACATAATTTATTTAATTCAAGTCTAAAGGTAGTCAAAAGTTAAAAAAGAACAGATCAGAAACAGAGAAGCAGTTGCACCTCAATCTGTGTACCATGTTTACCTAAGGTTAGTCAACAACACTGCAAACAATTGCATTGTGTCTAGTAGACGGGATTTGTGAAATGGACTGAAGGAAATATTGAGATCATGAGGATCAAGTGACAGAAATATCGAGAAGATATGGTGGCTGAACACAGGTATATGAAAACTATCACTAACGTTAGCGTGGTTTGTATCTAATTTTGAGAAATGTTCAATAAAAAAAAACTTTACTCACCCATTCCAGGACACGAATGAATCCAAGAGGTTCTTTCAGTGGTCCCAGATCCAGGGAAAAGCCAGACATCAATTTCTGAGTAGAACAAACAAGTGTAAAAGACGAACAGAGATACACAAATACAAAGTTAGCCAGGTATAAACGAATTAACGTTCATAATAGCACCCACACAACTATCGTTACCTGTTTGTCACCTTGCGGCTAACTGGCCCTGCCCTTGTTAGCCAACTCCTGTTAGCGATATGCTAACGCTAACTCATGTAAACCCAGAGATCTAGCTAACTCACCTACCTGAACAGTATCCATTGGGACTCGAAGCAACTGAAAAGTAGTTTGTGTTCACTCCTGAAGTTGTCAGTTTGGTTGTAGAGCTAACTTAAAGACACTCCGTTTGAACAGTGGCATGCGATACAGTAGCTAGTAACTGTCAACAGGCGACAGACCAACAGTCAGAGGAGTAACTTACAAACGCACTGTCAGAGCCTGTACAACTAAACTACTGTCAAACCCACCAAAATAAAATACACCTCACTTCCGGTTACTTTTCAAAATAACCGGAAGTGTGTACACATTAAATATTTATTATATAGATGGCAGCATCAAAATTATGAAATGAATATAAAGGACGTCACCTTCAAATTTTCGCAATTCTTATCCCAGTAATTTTCTGAAACATTTAAGATGAAGATGAAGATTGTTGGCACAATCTAGGTCATACTTTTTGAATTTTAATTGACAGATTATACAAATAAGTTCAACTATTGAGGCTTACGTACGAATAAACTAAACATCCACTTAACAGCATAATTATGAAATGTGGCATTCAGGCATATCATTCACAAAAAATAGAGCTCACGCTGCTGCCTTTCGGAATATTAAGATTTAAGGACACCGTCTAGCTCTCATAGTTCATAGTTTGTTTACTGAATTGAACCAACAAACACTAACAACACAACAAAAACAGTAGTATTCATAAACTCTTGCACCCAGCCTCTCACTTTTGTGAACGTATAAATTGTATCAACCACATGTACTTAAAGTAGCCTATCAAAAGTAAAGGTGCTCAGCAAGCAGAAACAGGACGCCAATAATATGTAAGTATCATTTTGTAGTTGTTCGAGGTAAATTTAAAAAGTACAATATTACATCTGAATTGTAGCATCGTTGAGCATGTCATCATGGGGCCTCCCTGTTTTAGTTCACAGTAGAGTGTTTGAATTTACAATTTTCCCAGTCGACCGGAACGCAGCACACCCTCGTTCTTTTTATCCTGCGGCCGCCATTTTGCTTTAGTCTGAGTCCGGCTGCAGCAGACAACGAAGAGGGACGGGGTTTTTCCTACATTACACAACTTTTATAATCTTTTAAAACCTGAAACTGGTAATTAACACCACATACTTTGCTTACATAACACATTTAGCGGTTACATTGTAGTGTTATAATATAAAAGTATAAATAAACAGCCGTCTTAACATTGAGCTAACGCTAACGATAAGGTCGCGAGAAATTGGTGGTTCAAGCAGGCCTCTGTTCTTTTAGCATAAGCTAAAATAACCTGAAACTGTACGAGCATAGTATGATAATAAAACGTCATATATAGTGTTACAGCTTACGGATAACAGAAACAAAATAGCCATCTTAACTAAAAATCCAAAGTCACTTTATCGCTCAACATTATTTAGCTATTATTTAGCTAATGTTTGCCGAGTATTAGCTTTCCATCACTGCTGGCAGTCGCTCGTAGGTCGTCCCAGCTAGCTTTGGGCTACTTTTTTTTTTATTAATCAACAGTAAGTATATGATTGTTTTCTTGACCTTCTTGGTTTTTAATCCTTGACCATCCGTATCTTGAACCGACACAGAAATTGTAACTTGTGTTATTTGGACGTTAAGAACCGTCTATTGTAGTTTATAATATATTTTACCCGAAACATACGGTAATACTATCTACAATAGAGGTTGTGGCCCCAGGAAAGTAGACTATTTGTTTTACTTGTAATGAGTTAGTGAGTTTGTGAGTCATTGTTTTTCTTTTTTATTTCAGTGTAAGTCTATTTTCTAACTTTAGAGTGATTTTTCCCTGTTACTTAAGATGGACGGCAGACTTGGTCCTCAAGCTGATCGTCATTGTCGAGCAAGGGCCTCTGTGTCTGGAGTAAATGAACAATCCAACCGGCGTAAAGTCCGGAAAAATGCAAATTTAGTTGTTTTTTTCCCTGGATTAGATACGTGAAACAGATAAACATGCGTTGATAATGAAGCCTAGTGACAGTGAGTCCAGCCACTGACATGAATCCCTACTATAACCAAAGTCCAGTTTGCCCTGGAGTCAGTATTGGAAGCATATTTGTGTCGTGATGCTGTACCTCTGTGTGGAATGTCCAATTGTCTCATTTGTACTTGTGCACAAATGTCTGTGTCTTAATAACCCCCTTTTCAGTTCCCTGGGCAGTGTTTTTGATTGGTTTGTAGGTTTAAAATCATCCTCTTGGCCCTTTGTGGGGATCCCTGGATATGGATAGCCCCCCCATGAGAATACATTGGCAGAAGATTTTTTTTTCTCTTCAGCATTGGTAATCAACAGCTCAAAATCTCTCGAAGCTTGAGTTTCCTGCCCATTTTTTCTACTGCCATCACCCTAGTGTCACCAAGTGTGCAAAATACCACCAAGCCCAAGAAGAAGCTGAGGATTTTTTCCCCACCCACCCACAATTCTCCTCTTTTTGCCACATCAGTTTAAGCATTTTTGGATCTATTTTTTCTTTTCTGGCTTTTTATGTTCCCCTGTTTATTTCTTTCATTAGTTACATCAGTTAATAAAAAAAAAAATCCCCAAAGGACTTTATTGCACACACCATCAGTTGTATTTAGCTGTCTGGCGGAGATAAAGATGTCTCAGAGAAGGAGAATGTCGTAGGAAGACAAGTGTCTCTGGGCGACCCACCCCCCTTTTCCTCTTATCTCACGGATCAAGTGTTCCTTCAGGACTCCATACCACCAAGGAGACACCCTACCAGCACTGCTCTCCAGAGGGAGACAACTTCTCAGCCACCTCAGGTAAAGGTGGCACCAAACTAAACACTGCTTAACAGCCTGGAAGCACAGACTAAATTTCTAGTGTATTTAGTTCAAAGAAAAACCATCACTGATTCATCAATGGGTGGCATAATTATTTGTATTACACATTTTCTTGTTTTATTTCTTTGTTTACATTTCATTCCAGACATTATTTCTCATTCACTGGCCATTTCTCAGTTGAGTCTTATGTAGTCAAATCATCCTCTATCAAAGTTTTTACTATCTACAGCATATCTAAAGCATAATATTGTAAAGCTGCACTGGTGCTGTGTGTGATCAAACAAATAGACCTTAGGTCACATTGAGTACATGGACATTTGTCCACAGCATCATGGTTGACTAGCATTAAAATTTACACAAGATCAGTTTCACCCGAAGTACACTGCTGCCTTAAAATGAAAGCACTCCCTATTGTTTAATCATTGTTTATATATGAGACTTTTGCACTGATGATTGTATTCAAAGCACAGAAATATCTCATTCTTTTTATTAGATTACTACAAGACACATTAATAAAACAGGTACAGCAGGTTCTCTTATCCTTATGTAAAATGATACAGTTTGTACTTAATTTGAGTATTAATCCCAAATGTTCGAGCAGGAGCATGTTGTCATATCAGCCTCTTCTGCTAATAGCTGTATGTGTGCAGACATGTTCATAGTGAACATGTTTATAAAACACAGTTTCTCTTTCTGATGTTTTGCTCTGCTCTGTGTTGTCAGGGAGAGTCCTGTTGATCCTGAAGAGAACCATCTGCTGGGTTTAAAGTTCATAGCCTCATCACCTCCGCCACTCAAGACGCCTACCAGCATTACCATGACCAACCATGGAGACGACTGCTACTTCTTTTACTATTCCACGTGCACTAAAGTAAGAAAAGTCCGAGCACAAAGCTCACACATACATGTATAATTTTACTGGATGGAAAGTGACTGGTGACCTGAGGGAAGAGTATTAATGGTTCTCATTTATCCTGCAGGGAGACAGCTGCCCATTCAGACACTGTGAGGCAGCCATGGGCAATGAAACAGTCTGCAACCTGTGGCAGGAAGGACGCTGCTTTCGAACTATTTGCAAGTTTCGCCACATGGAGATCACAGTAAGCAGAAGTTAAACATTAGTTTTAAACTGCACGAAGCTCAGAAACCTCCTTCAGGCTGTGTGTATATTGAATGGCCATTATCAAAGGGTCGAAAAAGTCCCCCTGTAAACCTGGTCCTGAAGCTCCACTCCTGCCTCTGGAGCTGTCGGGAGGAACGCTTAACATACTGTAAAGGCAATTGAACAACAAGTCTGTCAGTACACATTACAGTTCATAAGAGACTTACATTATGTTGATTTGGAGTACAGTATAATCACGTCAAGCTCCTTTTGTTTAACTAGCTTTATAAAATGTAGATGCATGGCATGAAGAAAAGGCTTTTCCTCCAGACGGTCAGAGATAATAACTCTATCATTTCAGTGGAAAGTCAGGACTGTACCATGTGTTTAGGCCACAGTCTTCACTCTGTTCAGTCATCATACCATGTTTTGCTAATAGACATTAAAATGATCAATGTGCAAGAGTGAAAATAGAAATTTAGATCGTGAAAAATACTGAGAATTTAATTTTTTTGGCCCTCCTTTGAATTCAGTTGTGCTGGTGCCTGCGTGTATTAGGGAAAATATTATGGACATAGATGTGATTGATGTGTGATCAGCCCATCTCCACCATGCATGATTTTACATTTTGTTTATCATTTGCATCAAAACAGAAAAACCGAAAGGAGATTCCTTGTTACTGGGAGAACCAGCCGGCCGGCTGCCAAAAGCCACACTGTGCCTTCCTCCATGAAAAGGCCCGCTACATCGATGGCATCTTCTTCCCCCCTGATAAAGGTGAGTGGGCTTCCTTCACACAAAACATTAAAAATGTAGAGTTTAAGACCATTTTCTTCCACCTGTGAAAGGCTGTAACGATAATCGTAATTCTTCCAGGTCTGAACAAGAATGAGGATCAGCCACTTGAGGAGCCCGCCCCCCCACCAGCTGCCCCTCTCCCCACTGCAGCTAATCCTCAGCTCAGAGGAGTCATTAAGACGGAGACCCAGGAGCCAGTACCAAGCCCCACCCACCCACCAGTGGTGATCAATCCAGCAGATGATGATGAGGATGAAGATGGTGAGCTGGACTTTCTCTCTTTTCATAGTTTGAAGATTTTTACCTCAGATTGACAGATTTTTCCCTGTGGTCTTTACCACTTTTGTCTTTCTGTGTCCAGACCAGTTCTCAGAGGAGGGAGAGGATGGCAAGGTCGGCCCTTCTCCTAGAAAGCTGCCTAAATTAGGTGAGACTGGAGACAGACACAAAAACACAATTTGTCATAATTTATGGCCAAAGCTTTAATACTCCAAATTCTGGGCGACCTTTATGGATCGACTGTGTTGTTTGATGGGATGTTAATGTTGTGTGGCAGATAATTCACTGAATTTCGGAGTGAGCACCCTGGAGGAGATCCGGCTAAGGAAGGCCCTGAAGGCCAGCATGAAGAGAGCTGGTTACCCCATCCAGAGTGCTGACACCTCGGCCAATGGAGAAAAAGAAAACATCCAGTCCTTTTTCCGGCCAGCCACCTATGAGGCCAGAGAGGGTAAAAAAATCAAGAACTTCTGAGGGGCTGAATTTCAGGGAGTTGGATAAAGAAGTCTTTGTCTTTCCTACCAGATTCTGCTTATTGACTCATTTCATATTATGTTTTTGGCCTGATGATAGTCTGGTTTTGTGTCAATTGGTGAATTTGCCCAAAAATGATACTTCTACCCACAGTATGTATGACATTTCTAAATAAATGTCAGTGCCTGAAAGTTTCCATGCTAGATAAACTGCTGTTGCTGTTTATATCAATAGAATTCCATTGTTTGGGAAACACAATAAGTGGAATATAGATATAGTAGGGGTGGGCGATATGGCAAAAATATCATATCACGATTTTTTAAAAATAAAATCACGATTACGATTTTATCACGATCTTAAATTGGAAAAAGGAAAACAGACAATTTAGACCAAAGAACCTTTCTTAACAGATTTTATTTCAAATAGTCGCAGTTTTGCCTGCATGTGCAAACAACGTAAAGTTTAAGGTAAACAACAACAACATTCTGGTTCGTTGTGTTACCAACCGACGTGCGAACGATTTCTGTGCAAACTTTGCAAATTACATTTGCTTGCGCTTGATCAGTTGCGGAAAATCCAAACCAATCCCATATAATGGAGGTGGAATTTTTTTATCGACCAACTCCGTTTGGCTTTCAGCCATCGCTCTCCATGTGCTACCGCTACACACACAAACAAGGAGGCGGGTACGAAAGCGCGTCACTGCCCGTAATTCGCTATGATTGGTCGGTCAGGTTGACGACGTCAATACGTCTGGTGCGTCGGTGCATCAGCATAGAACTGCAATTTATAGAATGTGCTCTAGACGATCCCACGATCTCTGCAGTTTGAAAGATCGTCTTCACGTTGTAATCCTTCACGATCTAATATCGTCATATCGCCCACCCCTAAGATATAGATAAATTGGACATAATAATTGGCACTGAAATGTCTCGCTCATGGTGGTTTGCTCTGACGAAACATCAAGATATCTGGGCTGTATTTTCCCCGCCTGAAAACAGAAAATGAATGTTAATGTCAAACTGATATTTGAAAAATTTCAAATACGGATTCTAACCATTGTTTTCACTCTTAAGAGAGCAGTAAAATCATCATTGTCCTGTTCTAACCCGTATGTGGTTTGTGTTTTAACCCAGGCTCACTTGTCTTTGAAGAAACTGGGAGACCAAGAGGCAGTGTGGCTGAAAGGCTCGGGAGGAAGATGCCCGTCACTGGTAAATTTGCACTACTGTTACACCTCAACGTTACTTAAAATATTTTGAGCTTATCAACAGATTCCAGCTGCCACTGCTAGTGTTAAAGATGGTGACTTATTATCGCTGCAGATGAAAAAAGTGGAGAAGGTGTCATGCTGAAAAGGAGCCTGGCTGAGCGTCTGGGCAGAGTTGTGGATGAGGAAGAGCCCCCCTGTCAGAAAAGTGAGTACTGTGAAATATCAAAACCATTCAGAGGAATTCACTGTGCATTACCTGCAGCCCTGTACTGTGCTTGTGTATTACTCATTACTAGAATGAATTTTTTTATATTTTAACTGTTTCTCTCTTCTGCTTTTTTAGCTTTGAAACCTGTTAAGGATAGACTTGGATTGCCTGCTGCTCTAGTTGCTCCCACTAACCCAGGTAAGAAGTCTGAAGAAGACCTTGACTTTGTCTGGAAAGAATAATCATGCACATTGAGTAAAACTTACCCAACTTTCCCAACAGCTGAGAGCAACATGGAGTCCAAGAAAGCAGCAGAGCAGATCCACATCAAAACACTGGAGGAGATCAGACAGGAGAAGGCAGCAAAGTCTCAGTCCCGAAGCCAGAACGATGGCCCTTCAGAGGTGCATCCAGAAAGCACCAAAACCATCACTACCAAAGCCACAAGGGGTGCTAAGCGAGCCATCAAAGTCAGAGATGACTCGGTTGGCCACGTCAAAACATTCTCTGAGATCCTTCGAGCCAAGAAGAAAAGGGAGGAGGAGCAGCAGGAGCAGAAGCCCAGCCCTAAGAAGGCACAGCACTCTGTCGAGAAAGCTACAGACAAGAGCCAAGCAGAGCCAAACACAATGGGACCTGATCCTGAGGTCACTAATGCAGGGGAGGTTAGAGTAAAGACCCTGGAGGAGATCCGTAGGGAGAAGGCAGCACGGATACAGGCTCAACAGGCCCTGGAGTCTGAAAACAAGAAGAGCTCCGATACTGAGGAGAATGGTGCTAAGAAGCCCCGCCTACTGCGCATCAACAAGCTGGCTTTCCAAAGTAAGACAGCAGCATTATTGATGCAATTCCTGTGTTTTAACACAGCAGAGTTGTTGTTAGGTCGACTGTAAATGTCTGTCAGAATAAATTAGATTTTGAATTTGCTAATCATCATTTTCAATCCATGTAGAGTTTAAAACATGAGTTTCTGTCAGCAGGTAACGTCACGACAGAGAAGAAAACTCAACCTGCTGCTCCCGGGGTAAGGAACTGCAGTATTGGCTGCTGTTGCTTGTTCTCCTGTTGACAGTACATAATCGTAACTTCATGTCTGTGTCTGTCTAGCCTGGCCCAGCCACTAATAACAACGTCAAGGTCAAGACCTTCGAGGAGATCATGCGTGAGAAACGCCTTCGCAAACAGGAAATGGAGGAGCAGGATAAAACCTCCGCTGAAGCAGAGCCGCCTCAGAGGGGGGTCATGAAGAGAAAGGCTCCTGCTAAAGACGGTTTCACATCATCAGGCTCTTCATCACCTTCCTCCACCACTCCGACCCCTGACACTACCCCTTCCACCCAAAAGCTCCCTCTTCGTAAACTGGTTAAATCCAAGGCTGCGTCACCTCTGAACAACGCTGCTCCTGCTGGTACAACAGTTGCTGCTGTTCCAGCTGTGACCTCAGTACCTGTGAAGCAGAGCTCTTCTCCACAGGGAGGTGAGACTGAGTCCAACTCACAGAGCCCCAGCAGCTCCAGGGAGGCCTCTGACAAAACCACAAGAAACTCTGCACTGTCACCAGCCAAGCAGTCCAGAGCAGCTCCTCAGGGTTCCACCGCAGATAAAACACTGAACAATCAGAAGAAGTCCCCAGAACACACTACAGACACCAAAGGTACCCCCCCTCTAATGCTGTCATACAGTCTCATTCTGAAACTCACATTAGGTAGTCAGGTCAGCAGGGAATACTTCAGACTCGATTCATACCGTACCAGTATGTGGACATGCACTTGAGTGACTTTATTATCGGCATCATGCAGCTGGCTGTCATGTACATTAGAAACCTAGTTTTTATTTTTTGTGTTATGGGATTAATAAAGACCTGTAGCTGCATGTCTATGATTCAAACAGGGTTTCTTTGAAAGTGTGTATCAAGTCCTTAGCATGGAAAACATCAAGTGCTCATTCTTTTCATTCCAGAGCCTCAAAACTTTGCTTCCTTTACAGTGAGGCCCAAACTGAATGTGAAGCCATCTGTCATGAAGCCTGCGGTTCAGGTGAAACCAGGTCAGAAGAGGAGGGGGGCGGAGCGATCTGCCGTGGCTGCTGTGAAACCTCTGAACAGCTCCTCCACAGACCGGGAGGAGCAACTGCAGGAGAGAGTGTGCAGAGACGGACAGGTAGGCCGGACACACTGGTGGTGACCTTCACTCCTTTGTGTATGTTGCATGTATCATCACATTTTATTTATACATTTCATATTGATATTTTGTGTTAAATAATTTAATACACTCTTCATTCTGTTTGTACTCCTGTGTTTTTACCCTGCTCTCTGATGTCTCTGATCCCTTTTATAATCTACCTGCAGTTAATTATTTTATCCTAGATACAACGAAAAGAACAGCAAAGCATGATGGGGAATCTGAACAGTCTAGTGCTGTTAATAATCAGTGGCTTTTGTTGTCAGGTGTTCCTGTCCGCCAGTGCAGAGGCTCAGCTGAGCTCTGCTGTTCCCCACAGTCCCAGCCCCCTGCTGGACTCAGGCACCAGCTCCAGTCCACTGAGAGAGGAGCTTCAGACTGTCCCCGTCTTCAAACAGAGTTTGAGCCAGGAACCCAACCCGTCCATCATTGCTGCCACTTCCAGAGAGGCCTGTGCAGTTCCCCAAAGGTGAAGGTCCACAGAGTTTATAACATGAACACTGACTTTACAAAGGAGATATCTGAAAGCCAGTGTGGAGAGTGATGTATGAACTTGTGGCAAACTTAAAACATTTTAATTGTGTTATATATATATATATATATATATATATAATTCTGTGGAGAAAGACAAACAGGATATCACAAAAATATCGTATTGTTTGGTTGACTACAGTGTAAACTTAAATTTTGTGAGGAGGGTGAATTTGAGTCCAAATATCGTTTCTTAAACAGAACGTACTGATGTAGGTCATTGTTTAATGGTTTCATAAGACTTCAGAAACATACAAGAACTTCATCTCTCATTAGTCCATTAATATTGTATTTATTGTGTTTTCACAGCTATTTAATATCTATAAATACTCTTAACTTTGTCCATCACTAAGTAAACAACAAGCCTCTTTGTTTGTGTCAGCCCCGTCCTGAAGAGCCCCACCCAGCCAAAGACACGGAGGCAGAGTACAGGCGTGTCCCGCACCACCTCCAGCTCCAGTGCTGCTGCTTCCACCTCAGCTGTGGACGACTTCGAGGAGCTGATGAATGAGTTCACCGATGACCATTTGGAGGAGGATGTGGACCCTGGCATCGGAGAGGACGACCTGCTGCAGGAACTATCAGAGATGATTGACAGCTGAGGGCTCCATCGAGCACAATCAAAACCCTGCCCCATTTCTCACCCACAACCTTGTCCTGTCATTGTGTATTTAGGAGAAGTGAAGACCATCATCCAGTACCTAACATGGAGTGTTTCAAAGACATTTCTTCTTTAAAGTTGAACTTGTTTTAAGCTTTTTGTTCTTTCTCTTATAGACAATCCTTTTTCATTTTCCTGCCCATATGATCATCTTATGGCCCAGGGGTTACTCTGCAGGGCTTTGATTTTCTTCATCATGTCTGTGCTTCATCAGTTTCCAAAATGTCCACACCCTGAGAAAAAATGAAAAAGGCTCTCTGTCTGGTCAAGAGTTCCTGGATAATGTTAAATGCTGGGAATGATGAAAGCCTCATTTTAGAGAGAAGTTGTATTTGTATACTGAGTATGCAAAGGGAATAGCAAGCTGAATATAGAAATAATGAATACTGCTGCACTCAACAGTAGCCTGCCTCCAATACTTGTGTTCTGGTTTTTAAATTCACGAGTGAAGGAGATGAGTTCCCAGATTATGTAATTTAAATGTTTTACTTTAATGATGGAAAATTCCAAAATCCATCCATCACGTTAATGTGAGGATCATCTTCTCCATCAGGGACATGTGGTTCATAGAGTTTAAACTCAGATCTTCAGAGTGCACCTTCTGCCTGTGACTGTCCCACCCTGAGTCGTTTTTATAATGTTTGACTGAAATGTGTATTTTTTAACCAGTTCTTTTATTCAGTGGACAAACTTTAAGACACCTAGTCTGGGACAAATGTTACATCACTCTCTGGTCTTTGTTAATGAACACCTCAGGGACTGTTTCTGATATTTGTACTACGATTATCAACACTGTATTCATTTCAACAATGCTGTCTTTGGTTGTTTCTTTTTGTGTATGTTCACATCAATGTGGTGAGAAAAATTTGTTTTCTCATCTTACTGTGTTTGCTCTGTCCTAACCTTTTCCCTGTTTCAAGACGCTTGTACAAAATGCTGTGTAAATAAAAAATGCTTTTAATGACCTGCTGGATCAATCTTTGACTGATAATTTAAAAAATGTCTTCAACATTAGGCATGTACATACAAGAAATTAGTAAGTGGTAGTTTCTGTTTCAACAGCTTTTAATGAACATCACACTTTGTTTTCCTTTATTCAGTGCAAAAAAGACTGATATGAAGGTATGTTAATAAAATTAAATGGGATTTTAACATGGTACAAATCCAGTGGACAGCATATACAGTTTATTCAAACAAACTTAAACAGCTCAAACTGCGGAATCCAGAATGAACATAAAGTTTAATCAACACCTAAAACAGTTCCAACAAAAATTGAGAATTCTAACATTCATGAATCAGGAATTATTGCAGGACTGTTGAATTTGACTGCTTTAGTCTTAGGCAAGACAAAGCAGCCATTCAATGTACTTCACAGGATTAAAAACATTCAGTACAGGCAAGCAAAAAAATTAACTAGTACCATTTAAATCAAGTGAAAATAAAAAGATAAACTGAATACTCCCACATTTAGATGCACAATTAAAACAATTTGAAAGACAATTAAAATGAAGCTTATTTTAAAGCTAAACTACAAGATTTTATCTTTAAGAGTTTTTCTTACTGGGGGGTGTAGGCTGTGTAAAATAAAGTTATTTAGCTTTGACTTTAGGGTGGTTAGAGTCGGGCTTGTCTGATATCTACTGGGGTTATTCCAGGGGTGAATTCCAGACAGCAGGCCTATTTAAGTGTGCTAATCCTGAGTTTAGGAAAACTTCTAAGTTTGTTGTTCCAGAAAATAGTAGTTACTGGATATAACTCTTTACCCTTGAGGCTCCGCTTCAGTACCCTGGATCAGACCTTTGGACTCACTGTCTAATCAGGAGGTAGCGACCCCCCACTGCTGTCCCCTATAAAACCCACTGCTTGTCTCCCTTGGGAATTCAGTAATTTATCCCAAAAAGGGAATCAGCTGTGTCTGCAGCTAGAGGGCTATGCACAAACTCATAGAACTGGAGTTACATCCACATACATACTCCACCCTCTAATGAGTTAACACTAAAGGCGAAGGCCATTAGGGATTGAAGTTCTCCCTGCCGTGACTCCTAAAGGGCAGCAACTGACTGGATGAGAGAAAAAAAACCTCCTGGTTGTTGTCTGCCTCCTCCACTCAGACTAGTTTCAGGTCACCTCCCTGTTTATCCAGAGTCATAGAAAATATCAACCATTTGTGTGAAATTTTGTGAAGTCTTGAGTAATGGCTAAAAAATGTTTTGTGAGGTCACACTAACCTTGACCTTTGACCTTTGGACCACCAAAGTCTAATCAGTTCATCCTTGAGACATAGTGAACGTTTGTGCCAAATTTGAAGAAGTTCCGTCAAGGCGTTACAGAGATATTGTGTCCATGAGAATGAGCAAGACAGACAACCTAAAAACAATATGTCTGCTGCTGTGTCACCAGCGTGGAGGAATAAAAACCAGGCCAAGTCCCAAAGCTCAGGTACCACTCACCTAAGGATCCTGAAGACACATATCTGCATTATGGGAGCACTATGGTCTCATAGGCCCTGCTGACTGCATCTCAAACACTGAGAAGACTGTGAAGCTCCTTGCTATAGCAAACACACAGCTGACTGATATTCCTTGGCTTATCCACAGAGCAGTAGAGTACCCACACGGGGCAGGAAACTTGAAGGAGGAAATGAAGACCTTGGTCTTAAAGGATGAGTTATGTTGCACTCCTCTAAGGCCCTTGACCAGTGGATGGCTCCTAGCCATGAACCAGCAACAACCACTGTGGCCAGTCGTAACTGCTGCCATGAACATCTCCAAGGATGTGGTGCAACCTTGCTCCCGCAGAAACTCGAGGACAGCCTGCCGCAGGCTTGGATGTGGGTCGAGTTCCCTGCTCTCTCATCACTTACCAAACACATGTCAGTATGTCCCCTAAGCCCTGGATGTGGAGGGCTCATATGCTGATGGTCCCCAGCATATGATGGGCTCTCAACAAGCAGAGGTGGCAAGCTCTGTCAGGACTTTGTGCCCCCCTGCCTGGTAGCCACCACTGTGGTGGTGTCCAACCTCACCATCACATGATGCAACACTGATGCACCACTCTCAGATAGACAGACAGATTGGTTCCTGCCATGTACCATCGATCACAGCCCTTTCCAGGTGTTTTACAGTTTTTGCCCGTTGCTTGAACACTATAGACCCATGCTTAGACTAAAGTAACACAACTTGAAGCTTTTGTTACCATACCTCAAACACATGTACCCATACCTTAAACAAAAACGCTGCTTTGTACTCTAGTTGCAATTCTGCAACACACTTACTCCTTTATGCAACACACTTAGTCCTGCATACTACACACTATTTCATACATAAGACACTTCGTTCAAAAATGAAATCTCAGGGTGCCATTTGGAAAACACATGTATCCAAAATACAAAACACATCGGGTAATTGCAACCACTCAAATACACACCTGAAGGCACTTACTTGCAAAACTGAACACCAATCAGCCAGCTGCAAAAAGCCCTCAGTTTAGCCATTTCAAGAACTTTGCAAGCATGGATGGAGGGAGAGCGAGAGGCAGAGGTAGAGCAAGAGGACAAGCATGAGGAAGAGGAAGAGGAAGAGGAAGAGGAGGAGGAGGAGGACAAGGTCAAGGTCAAAGAGGCCATGCACGGACCCCTATTTCTGATGATATAAGAGCAACTTTGGTGGACCATGTCATCAACCATGGCCTGACTATGAGGGAAGCTGGGCAGAGAGTCCACCCACATCTAAGCCGCTTCACAGTGGCATCTGTAATAAGAACATTCCGACTGGAAAACAGGTATGTCTTCACCTCTCTACCTTCTACTCTACTCAGATGGTATTTACAGTACTGTACTACAGTATATCACATTACCACATCACGTGTACAGGGTATTGCAGGGTGCTAATGCTCCTTTTGCAGCCAAAATGGTAGTTTTTGTGAAAAATACCTGATTACTTATATTGAGAGTTTCAGTACAGTAGATGATACAGTATATACAGTAAAGTACAGTATATATAGTACTGTAAGAAAAAGAAGCAAACCAATGACAATTTGTGGTTGTATTTCTCTAGAATGACTAGAAGACCTTCTGGAGGAGGACGCCAACGCCTGTTACACAACAGCAAGGAACTTGCCGTTGTGGACCTAGTGAGGGCAGACATTGCATCGTCCTCCACGCTACGACAGAAAGTACTTGCAGACAGGCAAGTGTTAAACATAAACCATGTGAGCATCACACCATCAGACGATTTGGGAAAACAACATCACTGACAGCTACAGGTCCATTGAGAAGGAACAGTGTCAGGGTCAAAGGACTTCGAGTGAATAGTACGGGTAAGTGAACTGTCCTTTACATTTACATACAGTATTGGTGAAATCCAGTAGCAGCATATATGTACATATCAGTACCACATGGATCCATTCGGAGAGCTACACAGGTACCTGTGTGATGGGGTGGGGTTCTGTATGTGTAGCACTGTAGTAATATGTTTTGTTTTTTTTGTTACAGAGAATCTTGGCCATGGATGAGCTGCACAGCCTCATGAATTCGTTTTCATTGATGAAGCTGGATTCGACCTGAGCAAAATAAGACGACGGGGTCGTAATGTAATGGCCAAAGGGCAATTGTGCACGTCCGGGCGAGCACGGGGGAAATCACATTGTGTGCCGCCATAAGCCTTCGAGGGCTTCTGCATCATCATGCAAAAACTAGGTCCACACAATACCCAACTATACTCACATTTCTAGATGCTCTCCATAATAATAGTTGTACAGAACGAACCCAGATCAACCAGGCTTTGTGGTGGTATGGGATAATGTCAGTTTCCATCGGGCTGCTCTGGTCCAGGCCTGGTTCACCAACCACAATCAATTTGAAGTGGTATACTTGCCCCCTTACTCACCATTTTTAAACCCTATAGAGGAATTCTTTTCGGCTTGGAGATGGCGTGTATATGACCGCCAACCACATGCCCGCATGCCTCTTCTGCAGACAATGGATCAGGCCTGTGGCGACATTCAGGTGACAGCAAACCATGGATGGTTTCGACATGCAAGGGGATATTTTCCCCGGTGCCTAGCGGGAGAAGACATTGCTTGCTATGTCAATGAGGTCCTGTGGCCAGACCCCAACAGACAGCAGGATCCATGAGCCCACGTATGCACAATTGCCATGATTTTCTGTGTTTACAGTATAGTGTTTTTTTCTTTTTTTTTTGCTTTATCTGAATTCATGTTACTGCAATGTACAGTGCTGCAATGTACAATACTGAGTAGGCCTATTTACTTTTTTGGTTGTTTGAAAATGTGCCTCCTGAAAATGTGCCTTCTGAATAAACAGTGAAAATCAAAGACTGCAGTGTTTTATATAAAGTAGACTAGTGTGTTCCCCCTGATCTGAAAGTGTATGCATATGATGCAAGTGTGTGTCATTTTGTCATCAGAGTTACATTTTGACAAAGGATTGTTAGGTTTTGATAGCAGAGTTTAGGTTTTGATAGCAGAGTTTCAATTTGACACAGATGTGAATGGTATATTTCCCAGTGTTGTGTCATGTTTACTTGTGTGTAGAGTTTTGGCACAATGAGCGAAGTTTTGCAAAATGTGTTCAAGCAACGGGCAAAAACTGTAACTCATGACACCTGGTTAAGCAGATAGAGAGTTGTTTTACAGTTCTGGTAAATGAATTTGTTTTTTGTAACCATTTTTTTTTTTTTTAAATCTTAGGTAAATTATGAGGAAATCTGAAATGAATTTGCTCTGTATCTCCCCAGGAGCTGTGTGGTCACAGTGGCTATATACTGTATATATAATATATAGAGGACTATATAGTTTGTAACATGAAAAATCACTTTACTCTGTGCTGTTTTTCTTTCTTTTAGCATGAGTGCAATGCATGATGGTCTATATTGCTTGGTCAGTGACCATCTGTTGTACACTACGTTTCACTACTCACCATACAGTGAACTATACAGGGAGTAGAGAGTGATTTCAGACACTTATAGTGAGTTTTGTTTTCAACCCTCCCCCGTGCATTCGCCCACAGTGAGTGGGAGGATTTACATTTTATGCATATGATTAATTAAATGAATACATTTATGATGAAGGTGTTTCTGAGATACTGAATTCATTGAAATGGGAAGTTCGTCATCATACATCATACATCCATAGAGGCAGTCTGCACAGGTAGCAGCTCCTCCTCCACCTGCCCAGGAAGGAGGGTAGACACATCTCTCTTGTGGCCCTTTCTTTTACAGTATTCTCAAGTGTATGGTTCTCAATAAAACAGAGAGAAAGTGTTGCTCCAGCAGGGGTACCACTTTACAATAAGACTACCCTTATGAAGGATTTATAAATGGTTTATAATTAGTTTATCAATTGAGTTGTTAACACTATTAATCATAAATAAACAATTATAAATAAGTTATAACACATTTTTCACACATTGATGTAGGCTCACTATTTGGCAAGATCAAGTTAATGCTTACTACTCAGTAATCTTACTAATGAGTAACTACCATTTATAACTGGTAAAAGGAGCCTTATAGTGAAGTGTAAAACACATCACCATTTATTAATGAATGACCAGTTATAAATATTTGTAACTCATTAATAAATGATGATGTGTTTTAGTCGTTTACCAGTTATAAATGTTTGTAAGTGATAAATAAATGGTTGTAAAAATGAGAAGAAGAAACATAAAGATGATGGAGGGAGAATCACAGAGATGTGAACAGTGGGACAAAGAATGGGTGAACAGTTCACCAGGTAAACGAAGGTCACCACCTGTGTTCTAGCTGGAATGCTAAAGTGCTAAAGAAGAGAGCAACCAGCAGAAAGCATCTCCATGTTAATCTGCACTGAGCAGAACAATGTGATCAACAGCTGTGATTAGAATGAGGACGGCTGCTGATACATGTCAAGGTAAACAACACTTCCAAGGCCTCAGAGAATGAATCTGCTCATTTGATATGATCATGTGATCTGTTATAATTTCATCTGCCAGAAGAAACTTTCTGAGCATTAAGATGCCAATGGTGGTTCATCGATAGTAACTGAACAAACGTGATGAAGCAGCAGGTACAAATGCTGATGATGGAGAAAACAAAGAAAGCTCAGTAACTAATGAGATATGAGGCTGAACAGCACAGAGAAATGTGGACTCACTATTTGGCAAGTAACAGGTCTATCTAATGTGTTATAACACATATAAATGATTTATAAAGTGTTAACAAGCTAATTAATAAGATATATATGTTATAAACCATTCATAAATCCTTTATAAGGGGCGTCTGATGGTAAAGTGGTACCATAGATTTAATTTCATGTGTCAACAGACTGATGTGAACGTGTGTCTGGCCTGGAAATGCTTTAAAACAACATGTTTCTGTGAGTAAACTGTGTGTAGAGGTAAAAGTCTGACATATTGAAGGTAGCATGTTCATATACAAAGGTACAAATATACACATAGACAATGAAATAATAAAAGAAAAGACCATGACAAACCAAAAAAAGTCACATTTCACATGTTACAAAGCCAGAGTTTGTGTTATATGCAGCATATTATATTCATTCAACAGTTTTAAGGTCTTCTGAGCTTTTTGGTTTTTAACATCAGAACATCATCAAGTTTTGCTATATTGTTTAAGTTAATTAACAAAGAGCAGGGAAGTTGGCTTGGTTCTTGATAATTTTTTCTTATGAATATGGAATTTTCCAAAAAAACAAAAAAACAGATGGGAAATACTCTCTTTTTCTAGGCCACGGAAATCCCAGTTGTAATCAATATCCAGTTTGAATCTTTCTGACACGTGTTAAACCAGATAAATTCTATGTCATATCTTGAAAGACACCTCTTTACATTAATTATTGATACAGTATTTATTACAAATTCTCCATGCTTTTTCCTCTGTATACCACTAAATAGGTAAGACCAAATACATTGAGATGATGGGACGGTAACATAACTAAGAGTAATCCCAATACTTTTCTTAGAGCGCTTAGCTTTCAGGATATTAGTTTAACCAATATAAATACTTCCCACCCAGTTTTCAAAATTAAAAGGTAGGTTTACAGCCACTATCAAGCCATGTGTGACAGAAAACAGTCTTATTTTTATATTGGATCTTTATTGTTCCATATGAGATAGGCTATCTGTGTTTTTAAGCTAGTAAGCTGCTAGTAACCAAGCTGTCAGTGCTTGTTGATGAAAAGCTCTCTGACGCTACAGGAAGTAGACTGTGTCTGAGCTGACGTCATCTTTCTATTCTCCGCCCCTGCAGTCAGCAGCAGGTCACGTTGACCATCAGGTCAGATCACACCAGCTGGTAAAACAACCCACCTCTGTGACTCTGCGGTGCAGTGTAGTCTCCCGCCCAGCAGGTGGCGTCCCTGTGAGACTGACGGGACGCAGACGCCGGCTTCCTTGTGTTTCCAGGTTAGTGGATGTAAACAGGAGGACGTTCCCCTGTGGAGACAACATGAGCAGACTTGAGCTGCTGAACGTGTTTCTCAACGACAGGCTGACGGCGGCCGCTGAGGAGATTTTCCGCGCCGTAAAAGACGCGGTGGTGGAGTACCAGAGTGAGATCCTACGCTCCAAGCAGGAGAACGAGCGGCTCAAGCGGCTCCTCAACGTAGCCGTGCAGCGTCTGCTGCTGCAGCCAGGTGAGGACTGAGCTGCCACATCCCATTCTAATGTGTATATATATACATATTTATATATATATAATATGTGTGTGTGTATATCACATTTATTATCACATTTAAATGGAGCTTTGATCCTGGTGCAGTTAGTGTTGTGTAAGTGACACTCAGCCAGTATCACATATTACACATCATTTCTTCTGAAAGCTGACATCACAGCAGTAAAGCAACACAGCGTCAAAGAGACAACTATTAGAATGGAATTACTAATTATAATAATTATTATGATAAAAATAAAATGAAATGTATATAATGGATCCAGTGGTTCCTCTGATGGTCACATATGGATGAAAATGTTTAGGGCCCAGCTGTGATTCAGTGTAATTTATCTTTGTCCATGTAATTAATGGTGTTGTGAAATTAGAAGCAAATTACAAATACACTCTTCCAACATTATATATAGAATTATTATATATATATCAATCATGTCAAATATCAGTGTTATGTCAATGTTGTGATATTTATTTTGTTCAATCACCCCGTACTTGATTACAGATTTTAAGTGAGTGAGGTCAGATTTGAATTAGGTTCTGAATATAATATTTGGGCAACAGAACACATATATTAACAGGTTAGAATTGCTTCTTATGAATAAATATGCAAATATCTTGCCGTAGTCTGTAGGAATAGAGACCTACTGAGGCTGGGCTTCAAATAAGCAACATTTAGATTTTGGGAATCCAATTGAATTTAAACATTATTTTCTTATATTTCTGATATTATGATCAATTAAATATTTCTTTCCAACATAGACTGACAAATACACAAACATCATGTGATCTTATCAGCAGTAGGAGGGACCTTATGGCTCTGTTAGTGGTGGAGACCAACACATTTTAATGGAGTTTTAACACAACATGTTTCCTTCCTGTCATTCATCTCTCATAAACTAAAAAGAAAAATGAGAAAAGTGAAAAGAGCAGCTGAATCATGTAAAAGCACAAATAGAAAAATAAAAAAAACACAAATACAAAGTAAAGTTGTTTCACCTGAGGAAAAAGAATCAGGTAGTTGGTGGAAACTGAACATTTTTGGTCTGGCGGAATGATGTCAAAACAAAAACAGTTGTAACGGGTTGAAATGGGTTCTTCCCTGGTTCAGGACTCATCCCTGAACCAGGCTCATCGCAGATCGGTTCAGTACTTTTTGTGTAATCCTAATGACAAGCAAACAGAGGAGTGGAAACATGGACTCCTAATTATAGTTTGGTAAAGACTTCCACCCACTGTCAGAATGACATGACTTTAGTCATACAACGTCAACACATCTGAGAGGTTCACACAGTAGAGATGCCCTGATCATATTTTTATATCAATCGATATCAATACCAATCATCAGTGAGTAAGATGAGACAGAGATACTGATCATTTTTTTGTGTTTTGTAGCAGCAGGTATCCTACAGTAAGAACAACTGAATTACACAATGTAATAATTCATTATTTACATGTGTTAATTTATGTGAATTAACACAATTATTAACAGACTGGCAAAAAATATTAAGCCTATTTCATACGATAAACAGTGCAAATAGTCTAATGAATAAGAGGCAATATGTCTCAGAACAGAGACTCAGTTTCATTATGCAAACTGAAGAATAATGGGATTTTTTGGTGTCATGCGTTGCCGGTGGTGTGTGTTCTATCAGTCTCACACTTTGTAAAAGGTCCACACGGCCGACATGTGGCCTGTGAACAAGGTTGGAGGCGGGGCTACACCACAGAGCACACAGAGTAACCCTAACCCACCCGAGTATTAACTAATATCTGTTCTAAGGTGGTCGTGACTAGAATCATTAATTCACATCTACTAATCACGTATTTTTAATGAAAATATCATGATCGTTGTCTGATCAATTGGGGCATCCCTATTACACAGAAATCTTGCAGTATAAATATTAATTCATCAAAGGGTGAGGTTGTCTTGTATGTATGATTCCTGGTCAGCAAGGCAAGATTACATCAGCAGATTTTAGTTGAGACAGAGACAGTTTTGTTGATACTGTAAAGAATAAAAAGTATGTAGATCAGGTCGAGACAACCACTGAAGAGACAGTGTTTTCATTGAGAGCATGACTATGATGTTGGTCACCTTTCAGAGCTTCACTCTGTCCAGCCCAGAGAGGATGGCCAGTCCTGTGAGTCTGAGTGGAGAGGCAGTGTGGAGCTGCTGCCTCAAGTTAAAGAAGAACCAAAACTCACAAACATTCAGACTGAGTGTTCACATGAAGGAAGAGACTCAGAGGAAGGAAACTGTAGTCATGTGGAGCCAGATCAAAGGTCACATCGTCCACCAGCCAAGACTGCTTGCAGCAGACTGAGCGTCTCCCCACCTCCACTCTCATCCCAGGAGATTAAGGCAGAGAGCAGCAGAGAGGACGACAGCTCAGCATCCTCTCTGTATGTTCATTCACACTGTAGAGCAGCTCACAGTGATTCTGGTGCCAGTCCTGCAAAGACTCACAGGACTCAGAAACCAGACCAGCAGATGAAAGGGCTGACCCGCTCAAACGGAAAACCGAGCGCACACATACTGCAGATCAAGAACGTGAGATCCCTGAAGCCTCCACTGCCTCGCTCCACTCACCCGAGCCAGAGCATCCAGAGGTGGCACAGCTGTAAGGAGTGCGGGAAGGGCTTCAGCTTCGCCTGCCAGCTTGAGGTCCACATGCGCTGGCACACCAAGGAGAAGCCGTACAGCTGCACAGTGTGCAGGAAGAGCTTCACCACCGTCAGCATGCTCAAGAGGCACCACCGCATCCACACCGGGGAGAAGCCCTTCCGCTGCCACGTCTGTGGGAAATGTTTCAACCAGTCAGCTCACCTCAACACCCACTTCAGGCTCCACACCAGAGAGAGGGCCGTCTGGAGCCGAGCGCCACACTGCAAGTGAACGACAGCCTTCAGACTAACAGGAAGTTCATCTGTCAACTGTGAAACGCTTGAGATGTCAGGTTCAGACTGTACAATAATGGTGTTTGATTGTGTGTCTTATTGTTGTGCAATAAAGCGCAGTATATGAGTCATTCTGACCTATTGATTGTGTTCGTGCAACATTTCACTCATCAGTTTCAGAGCTAAGCTGCATTGACATGGTGATGTCACAGCTTTAAGAGTCCACAGGAGCAGACATATGATGAACACAGGGTGGAAGTGGTTTGGAAACACACCCAAAACCGTCAACTCCAGGTGGCCCTGACACACCTGGCTCCTGACGTACAACAACCGACTGCAGACCTTTTTGCACAGCACCTTGTCATAGCAGAAAAAGCATAGGTATAATCAATCAGTCAATCACTCAATCAATCAATCAATCATTAGAATCAATAGCTGACAGGAAACCAGTGTTAGGACTTTAAAACAGGTGTGATGTGTTCTCTCCCTCTGGTTGGTTTATATTGTTTTTGGGTTGAACAGAAAGGAGAGTATTGCAGTAAAGTCTGCTGGATATGAAATCATGCATCAGTTTTTCTGTGTTACTCAGAGACCAATATCATTAATGATGGCTCTTGCAGTAAGGTGGTCCAATTAGTAATTACAGTGAGCCAGCATCCAGAGCACCAGAGCTGGAACTTCACAACTAGGAAGAAAATATCCAAAAAACACACGCAAAACACTTTTTAGGCATTACTCAAGACTTCACAGCAATTATGACAGAATTTCACACAAATTGTTAGGTGGTGGAGGTAGGTGGAGGTGATTCTAGTTACTCTTATTCTAATCATCCTTCTTTGTTGCAGACCAGCCTCAAGACTAAACCACCCTGCAGTTCAGTGTGTGTACAGTACTGAATGAGGGTGATGGGAATTACATGGTTGCACTGAATTATGATAAAGGTATAAATAGTCACAACCAGTGCAACTAAAGTATAGTCATGGAGTCGTCAATCAAGTACTTCTGCACCAATGAGGGCTAATTAAGAATAGGTGAAAACACCTATCTGAATGGAGCATAGGTGTGTCAGAAAACAGCTGTACCCAGTTACATTAATATTAATAATGGCTGTCATACAATCATGTGTTCAAGTTCCTTTCCCACAGCTTTTTGTCATAGCAGACAAAGTACAGGTACAGCACAGGTGTAATCTACTGGAAAAAAATATAAATGCAACACTTGTTTTTACTTCTCTTTATCATGAGATGATCTATAAACACAAAAGACACACACACACACACACACACACACACACACACACACACACACACACACACAGCACTTTTCTGATTTATCACATCAGGCTTGTCACGTCAGACATAGCAAACGTTACAGGAAACCAGTTCATTTTGGGAGGGTGACTGTAGATACTGTACAAGCCAATTAACGTACTCTGCATATTAGTTTGTTAGATCAAGTTGGCATTCTGATTGGATTGTTTCTACCACTTCCACTCCACACTGTGTGGTACACACAATGATAATTATAAATCTTTTCAGATACTCTGACCTGTTGTAGCTGGAAAAACACAGGTGATCCAAGCTTCATTAGTGACAGTGAGCCTGCATGCACAATACCAGGAGCCTGGGATGAACTAACTAAATGCTGAAACTGTGATAGACCATACACGGTGTTCATCACAGGAGAAAAACCAATGACAGTCAACTCCTCCACTGTCAGTCATCACCTGTCAGTGTCCTAACGATGGAGACGTTAGATAAAGATGAGGCAGAAGATTCTTCACCAGAGACCATGCTCTGATCTGAGGTCTGTGTTTGAAGGTTTAGAAATAAATAAAGATTCATTTAGTTTGAAATGTTTGCTGTGTTTACCACGACCAGACTTCATCACTGCCTACAAACCTCTGCCGTCCAAATTGAGAAAGCACATCGATGTAACATTTATTTAATTACAGATAAACTTGTAGTAGTTGCTGTTATTATGCTGTGGTTGGTCAAATTATGACTTATGTCCATGTCTTGAGTCTTTGTATCATATCTTACACTGTTTATTCTACAGGTTCTACAGACAGTCAGTCAGCCAGTCAGCCAGTCAGTCAGTCAGTAGGTTGTTTCAGAGTCATTAGGAAATGTAAATGTGGAACAATAAAACAATGTGTTGATATAAAAAAGGTACTTTTGAATACTTCTGTATTTTTAAAAACAAGTACTCCAGTACTTTAACTCAAGTAAAAATGTGACTGAACAACTTTCCCTTGTATTGGAGGAATATTTGACCAGGAGGATCTGTACTGTGACTCCAATGATGGAGCAGTGGACTCTGTCACCTCTGACTGTGATACGCAACCAAACGTAAAATCCTATGTGCTGAGTCTGTGCCTCCTTTGAGTTGTTTTGGTTTTCGATTGGACCTAATAAATTGTTCTGTTGGCCACAAGATGACAGGATCAACTTACAGTTTCTGCATCCATTGAGTTTAAATATAGCAGCTCAGTATATGATGTTTATTTGTTTATAGATGTAACTATGTCCTTGACTATACAGTCCAGACTGTTGGTGGGACCTGAAAGCTGCTCGTTGTCCTTATAGATTATTCTTATATATTCTTCATTAATGTTTACTGTCCATTATGTTGTTCTATTCTGTCTGTCCCTCCTATGCTCATCTTCCTAAGGTTTCTTCCATTTTTTCCATTAATGGGTTTTTATTTTGGGAAGTGTTTCCTATCTAATTCAAGGATCTAATGACAGTAGGTGTCCTATGCTGTATAGATTGTTAAGCCCTTTAGATAAATATGTGATTTGTGATATCTTGTTATAAATAAATAAACTTTGACTTGACTGAAAGTATTTGGGCAGTTACACATTTTTGTTCTTCAGGCTCAGTACATTTGTCATGTTTTTGAATGGCAGACACCTTTTGTTAGTTTTGTTTTGGACTTTTGGCACTTCCTGTTTTATTTTGTAATTTGGTTCCTTGTGTGTCTCAGTGTTTTGGCTTCCTGTCTTGGTCTTGTTTCTGTGTAGTGATTGTTTGCCCCGCCCTAATGTGTTTCACCTGTGTGCAATCACCTTGCCTCCTGTGTCTATATAGTCTTTGTGCTCCTCTTTGTCTGTGTTGGTTCGTCAGTTTTGTTCTGGGTTTGTTCATGTCACGTTCACGTTTTCTAAATAAACCTGTCTGAACTGTTCTCCCATGTGTTGGCTGCATTTGGGTCCTACTTACCCCTCAAACCCTTGACAGAACGAACCAACCGAAGAAATGGACCCAGCGGCCTACGCCGGCCTCATGGCTTTTTTGAGAGTGCATCCATCCTGTCAGCAGTTACCTTCATCAGTCTTCAGGCCTCTTTGTACGCTGGCGGATCCTTTTTCGGACTCTGACCTGGAGGACCCTGACGAGTCCCCTTTCTGGGGAACTCGTCTGGCTGTCTTCAGGGGATTTCGTGGAGGCCACGGAAGGCGAGGTAATCAGGGCTCCCATCGCCATGGGGAGGCTCGGCCTTGGCCCCAGCCCCAGGTTCCTCGCTTCCAGCCCAAGCCAAGGTCCAGGGTCCCCAGCTTCCAGCCCAAGCCCCAGCTACCCCGGTCTCCAGCTCCTCGTTTCCTGCCGGCGGTCCGGCCGAATCCTGTCCCTCCTGTCCTGTCGGCGGTCCAGCTGACTCCTGACTCTGGTTCCTGGTCAGTGGTCCGGCCGATCCCTGCTCCTCGTTTCCTGTCGGCGGTCCGGCCGATTCCTGTCCCTCCTGTGGTGTCAGCAGCCGCTGCTCCGTGTTCTCCGGCGGCGTCGACAACTACTCCTGTCTTTCCTGTGATGTCAACGGCCGCTGCTCCATGTTCTCCAGCGGTGTCGACGACGGCTACTGGTGTGACGTCACTGCCTCTCCCGGTTCCTGATGTGACGTCACCACCTCTCCTGGCTCCAGCCGTGACGTCACCTCCGCTCGTGGTTCCTGCCAGGGTGCCACCCCCATTGATTCTTGCCCTGACTCAGCCCACGTGGCACTTGGTGTCATTGACTCCTGCCGGGGAGCTGCCTCCGGTGGTCTCTGCCTCCGTGCTGCCTCCGGTGGTCTCTGACTCCGTGCCGCCTCCGGTGGTCCCCTGGTACCAAGTCGGCTCCTGGTCACCCTCCAGAGGGGCAACGCCATCCTCCGGCTCGACCTCCGGAGAGACCCTGTCTTCACCGCCGTACTCCTGCTCGACCTCCAGAGGTGCGATGCCATCCTCTGGCTCGACCTCCGGAAAGACCCCGTCTTCGTCATCATCCTCCTGCTCGCCCTCCAAAGGGGTGACGCCATCCTCCGGCTCGACCTCCGGAGAGACCCTGTCTTTGCCGCCGGCCTCCTGCTCGCCCTCCAGAGGGGCAACGCTATCCTCCGGCTCGACCTCCGGAAAGACCCCGTCTTCGCCGCCGGTCTCCAGAATGGCTCCGTCCGTTTGCCCGACCTCCGGGTTGCCCCACTGAACTGCCAAGCATGTCCATAAGGCCTCCGCCTCGACCCCCTGAGTTGCCCTGTTTTGCCACTGAGCATCAGATGATGCTGTCCACTGGCCCCTGGCTCCCTCCTCCCACCCGAGTTTGTGTTTTGGTTGAGGGTCGTCTGGAATTTGACCCTTAAGGGGGGGGTTCTGTCATGTTTTTGAATGGCAGACACCTTTTGTTAGTTTTGCTTTGGACTTTTGGCACTTCCTGTTTTATTTTGTAATTTGGTTCCTTGTGTGTCTGTGTTTTGGCTTCCTGTCTTAGTCTTGTTTCTGTGTAGTGATTGTTTGCCCCGCCCTAATGTGTTTCACTTGTGTGCAATCACCTTGCCTCCTGTGTCTATATAGTCTTTGTGCTCCCCTTTGTCTGTGTTGGTTCGTGAGTTTTGTTCTGGGTTTGTTCATGTCACGTTCACGGTTTCTAAATAAACCTGTCTGAACTGTTCTCCCATGCGTTGGCTGCATTTGGGTCCTACTTACCCCTCAAACCCTTGACAACATTTAGGTTAAAATAAAATAACTGAGACTACATTAAGGTGCCAGGTCTCAGCTTTAATTGGAGCAGGTTTACATCAATACAGAAAGGCCTGTGTGGGAGATACAGAGCTTTAACAGTGTCAAAGGTTTAGGGGTCCAAAAGTA